TTTTTTCTTTTTTTACTTGAAATGCTAAATTGAAGCAAATTTGATCAGTTGTTCTGTTTCTGTGTCCGGCCTTGGGTTTCCTAGGAAATTTTCTATGATGGCTGTTTTGGACTTGAGCAAATGAAAGTGTGTGGTAATATTACTTAAAGAGACTTTCATATTTTACTTCAATGGACCCATTTTACAAACTGTGTTGCTACAATTATTAACATAGTAAATCTATCAAAGTTTTTTATATTTTCTTTTTTTTGTGTTATATTACTGTGGCATTACATTTCAGAAAACTACTGCTGTGTGTGTGTTTCTATTATCACACCGGTTGAGGGAGTGACAGCAAATTTGGCATCTTTCTCTTATCTGACTATACAGTAATCAATCGCTCAATATTTTTCCTCTTTTGGAAAAGTCTTAGAAACAAACAAAATAGATTTGTTGTTGTTCCATTCAACATATTGAAGTTTACCCAACTATGATGACTTTTGCTTCTGAGAACATTTCTGAGAAATGTGAAAAAGGTCCATTACAAACAGTATACTTCAAACATGAACTTGTTGTCTTTAAAAAACACAAGTAGCTTGTTCGCTGACCAGCTCTACAACATAGACAAACAGAAGTTCAAAATAAAAGAAACATGAAAAGGAACAAAATGATAACTAACATTCAACAAACCCAAAATGATGTGCTTCATATCATAAAAAAGTAATATACCTATATCAAATTAGGCTGAGTAGTATAGCTGAGCCTTATACATGTGAAGTAAGCTCTCTAGTCAGATACAATTTATTGCCTTTTACATCTCCCGTTTCTGTCCTGTTTATGTGGATACATGATATTTATCTGGTATCCAAGACTCTGTCAGATAATGTCTGTTGATAATCTGTTGCTTTTATTGACCATACATTCTGCACTTCCCTGAATCCCTATCATATTTATTACCCTAACTGATGTCAATATATATATTGAACCCAATGTCATCACTGAACATGGAAATTAAATGCAGCATTTCACCTTATATTTCCATCATGAGGTGATCATCTAATCAGGCTTAACCTAAAGCAGAAAATGGATGTTATGCATTGAGGCGCTTAGCTAATTAGACTTCTTAGTGTAATATGAAAGAACTGACTCATGCTTGTCATCCACAGCAAAGTCATTTAATTAGAATAAATTAGCCTAATCTATTTTACTAAATTATTATTTTGCCATTTTTGTTATGTTTAATTCAATTAAATTCATGAATATTTGTAAAGCGCTTTTCATAATACATTTTGTTTCAAAGCTTAACAGAAAATGCATGTTTAAGTGTTAAAACCAGGAAGTGTTCTGTTATCAGTCAGAGATGAGGGTGTCAAAGTAATGTCCATATGACAGTAATATACTATAAGATAATACAAGTTATGTGGTTAGTAAATCATGTATTAAGTTAAGCAGAAAGAATGAACATATAGGGAATTATATATTTTGACCATAATCATTTCAATATAAGGATGGTTAATATTTGACAGTTTTATCATTATAATACGTTTTATTTATATTGTACTTTAAAAGCTACTTGCTGTGCATTACAAAATGTAAAAGTACATGAAATACAAAAAAGAGCTTTATAAAATATATCCGGCAGTCTGCCATTCCCGTTTCGAATATGTGATTGTGTATTGTCAACAATAAGCATGAACATTCTGCATTTCCATTTTGCAGTGTGGATCATTCATTGCGACATTTAAACTGATTCTCATGTTTAAGAATCTGTTATCTGATAAAATACTTCATGCTACTGCCCACTAACATGCTTTTAAAGCTATGTTGTCCATTTTTTTGGTCTTCAAAACACCTTAAATCTTCGATCTTACGTCGAGATCAGGAAAATCTAAATTTTCTCGGGGGGCATGCCCCCCAGACCCCCTAGCAAAATAATTTTTGGGACCTCTGTATTTATAAAACCCTGGGTAACACTTTATTTTAAGGTGCTTGTAATAAGCAGTAATTAACAGTTAATAAGACACTTATAAGACCTTATAAGATGCATACAAGATGCATATAAGCATTAACTACTTCATATAAGGGTTAATTAAAGCACAAGATGAACCCGGGGAGGCAACTGAGCGGCCCTGGAGTGGTCATGACCCAGCTGGACCCCAGGGGATGGAGTCTACACTCACCCTGGCTGTAACTGTCGTGAGGCTCGTCGGCGGCACGATTGAGTAGAGCGGGAAAAGTGAAACAAAGCGCCCTCAGAAGTTATATGAAGTAGTTAATGCTTATATGCATCTTATATGCATCTTATAAGGTCTTATAATTGTCTTATTAACTGTTAATTACTGCTTATTACAAGCATCTTAAAATAAAGTGTTACCAAACCCTGCGTCGGCCCTGCACCCATAGGAGTGGTGCATTGATCCTTTGAATAGTTGTCCAATTTTCATGTGTGGATAGATGGACTAAGGAATAGTCACTCAAAATTCATAATTATTTAGTTGTCTCTTCCTATAATCTGTGGGCCAGTATCAATTGCAAAAACTGCACCTTTCCAGTGGCTAATATTAATTTCATAATGATTCTTTCTCCGTGAAGTCAAGCAGCAAAAGTTAAAGCTGCAGTCCACAGTTTTTCCTCTTTGTCGCCATCTCTGTTCGAAATCTGTAATTGCAGTTATTCGCGGAATTATCAACTTTACGTGAGTTGTACTTCGACACGACACAGCGCGGATGAACACAATGTTTGAGGAGAGTGTGCCGCTGTCAGTCACAGTGCCGGTGTGGATACTGGCATTCAGAATCACAGATTATTCTTTTTGGAAGTATGACCAACATAAGGGACACACAAATATGTGAGCATGTTTAGTAATCATAAGTTTATATATCAGATGTAAAATAGAGTTAGTGTTTTATAAATATAAAGGGGATAGAATTATTAGTGTGATATGGGTTGTGTAATAGGAGTTAGTATAGCATGGGTTGTGTAAAAAGGGTCAGTGTAATATGGCTTGTCCTAATATGTTGTGATCACTGTTACTGTCCTTGCTTCTCTGTATATAGCCTGTGCATAGTGTGTCTGTATGTATTTATGTGTAACATCTACTTGCTTAGGGGTCTGCAGATGGAAATTAGCCTATGGCTATAATCTGGCATATTTACATTTGTGAAAAATGTTCATTAATATGTATTGTCCCTTTTGTCTTTTTTCTACAAATAAAATAATAATAATAAGAAGAAGAAGAATTTTCACCGGAAAATGTCATCTGAACAAGTAAGAAACATTCACTTTTGTTCTGGTTCTGACATTGCAGTAAATTGCGCTGATTAAATCTAACAATCGCTTGTCATATCACGCAAAACCGAGCAAATTATACTTTGTTCTCAAATTGTTAATGTTAACAACGTCAGCATTGCGTGACTACATGTAATGTCCTTCCGATGTGTATCCTTGTTTTCGCATGGGCCGGTTGCAGTCTCTTTTTTCTGTAGCCACTCCGAAGTCCGAACGAAGTCTTTTGCATTTTACAGCGGGTGAATCTGTTGTCACTGGTGATTGTCGTTTGAACCTTTCTGCATCCACCATCAAATTGATACGTTTAATTATATCAAGTGCTGTGAGAAAAGGCTATAAATCTCTACCTCCAACATCCTCACACGCAATATAGCCTACTAGCCGAGACTCTTCTTTATGTGTACAAATGTGACGTAATGACGCAAAGACATGCTCGAATCTCCCGCAGAAATCCACCAGTACCACTGGAATTAAAAACATTATTACAAGCTGACCGTTTTGAATCGAGCTAAGGCAAGCAGATCGTTTTGAACACTGGCTGGTTGTGTATTTTCTCAAATATGTATTTTGGACAATTTTTAACCCCAAAAAAGCTATGGACTGCAGCTTTAAGTGATAATGTGCAAATACTACTGGCCCGTTTTGGGGTGAACTAATATGCAAGACTAGTGTTTTATGTCTTAAATTGTTAAGTGTGTGCGTGTGTGTGTGTGTGTGGTCATGTAGGCTATAGACTGATTGTCTTGGCTTGCATCCATGAAATATTGTAATGTTATAGGCCTACTGCATATTGAGAAAATTGCACTGCAAAGCAGTGAAAATGTATATGATGTTTCCAGATTTCGGATCCAAGAGGTAACATATGAATTAAAAACAAATTTGGTCCCAACAGGGAGCCCTGCGGAACTCCACATTAGAAGGGGAGGGTAAGTCAACTCCAACTGACACTACAAATGTTCTATTTAACCAATAAGAATAAAACCAATCCAATGCCCTTTTTGAAACACCCACCCATCTATGTAATGTATAATTTAAGATTGAATTACAAACTGTATCAAAAGCTGCAGTTAAATCTAACTATAGTAAAACAGAGCACTATCCAGTATCCTCTGCCATCAATAATTCATTAGTTACTCTTAAAAGGGTAGTTTCTTTATATGGTTTTCTCTCAAGCCTGATTGAAATTTCTCAAAAACATTGATTTCATTCATAACCTCCAGGAGTTTCTTCTACTACTTTTTCTACTATTTTTGAAATAAAAGGTCATTTAGATATTGGTCTATAGTTATAAGCAACTGCAGGATTTAATGAGGGCTTCTTCAGAAGTGGTTGAACTGTTACATGCTAGAACACATCCAGACACAAGAGAGCTATTTAATATATACAACGGAACTAGACCTAAAGTCTCAATACCTTCCTCAAATAGTCTTATAGGAACCACATCTGTATGACAACTGGAAAGCTTCAGCTGTTGAACAAACTCATAAAGATCCTGCTCTGATATAGGTGAAAAAGAATCCAAACAACACCTCCCTAAATCCTAACTGATTCAAAGATGATTAATTGATTTTTTTTATTTTTTTTTACCTGCCATGCATCCAGTGGCCTATGTAGTCTATATTTTTTTAATTGCTGTTTTGCTTTGATAAATGTTTGATTTTGCGTGTTGTTTTTTATTTGAGTGAGATTGTGGAACAGTTACATCAGTCACAAAGAAAAAAAAACTATTTCCATAGAGTTCTCCTCAAATGACAAGTCAGTTTATTCATTTATTCTAAGCCAGGACAAAATGAACAATAACCAGATATACAAAGGAGTAATTTAAAAAGAGGTACTTGGACTTATAAACTACACCCAGATGGAATGAAGAAATAACACAGATAAGAAATATGTTCAGTTTACACTAATGATCCATTACATGAAACAGTTGATGTTTATTGTCATTTATGTGCTTATGCAAATGTGCAGTGTCCTGTTTCACAATTTGCAGATGTTTTTCAGAAGGTTCTAGTGATGCTTGGGCCAAACACAGCACTTACAGCTGTCATCAAACACGGTGCCTACTGCACAGCGGTCCAAGAAGGTATTGCCTCCAGCACAGTTATAATATTTGTTGGGATCTTCAGGGTGAGGATAGAGTCCATCTGGCTTCCCGTTACAGAATCCTGGTCCTGGAGCATGAGTGGTGGTGGTGGTAGTTGTGGTGGTTTTTGTGGTTGTTTGTCCAGGTTTAAGGGTGGTGGTTGAAGGCATAGGAGGCAGTTCTGGAAAAGGCATATTAATTAAGCATTAGTTTTTAATTTTTTCTTTTCTTCAAATACGATTTGTATCGTATCGCAAATATGATTTGTGAAAATTCCTACCAATATCCAGAAGATTGCGCAGATGCCCCATGAGAGGATGGTTCCCCTGATTACAGAACTGTCCAGCAAAGTCATCCAGATCAAGCGCCCACACGAAGGCTCCACCAAATTTCTTGTCTTTTAGATAACGGACCTATAAAATAAGAGGAAAAAATTTAGTTGTTAGTCAGTTGGTGGCAAATGGTGACAACGAAATCCAACTCCAGTAAAAACTCAAAAGTACCTTAGTTTCGAAACTCTCCTTGGTGTCAAATCCAACCCACTCGCTGTTCTTTGTGGCATAGGGCACCTTCTGATCCTCAATCCACTGGATTGTTGTTCCCTCTAGGAAGCCACAGATCTATAAAGACATTGACATATTAATTGACAGTATTAGATGTTGAGATTGTTTAAAAGACACTTGAATATGAATGAATGTATTCCATTTGTTTTCCATTTTGGACAAAATGGCTTTTCCAAATCTCCCACCTCATAGTAAGACCAGAATCCAGCCTCGCGAGTGTAGGTTCCAGCTGAAGCAGGTCCACTAGCTGGGGCTCCAACCTCAGTATCTGCAGATGTCAGACGGAATGTGCGGCCGTATGTTGCGAAACCCATTCTGAGTTTCTCCACAGGGGTACCGTTGTCCCTCCAATAGCGCATAGCATAATCCTGAAAGAGGAGTAGAGTTATCATTTTAAAATGGAGGAATTTAAAAAAAATCATTATTTGTTTTCACATTTTTTGTGACACAGTAAATCAGTTCTTACGGTATTGAAGTAGGCCAGGTCTCCCTCGTCCTTTGAGCCTTGGTACAGAGGGCTGTTGTGTCCTGTGAATCTTTCCCAAGTTCCATGGAAGTCGTAAGTCATCACATTGATGAAGTCTAGATATCTGTAAAAAAATTATCACACAAATCAGGAGGGGTCTAATACATCTCATGCAATGCTGATTCGATGGCCCATGACCCTACATAGGACAAGCGGTTTTGAAAATGATTGGATGGATGAATTGGTGTCATCATACTTACTTGGCAACCTCAGCAATCTCATATCCAGCATCAATTGTGCCTTGACCAGCTGATACAGCAGCAGACAGCATCAGTTTGGGTCTGCCAGTAGCTTTGGCCTCGGCCTCATAGGCCTCAACGAGTTCCTGTGAAGAGAAAGATAAATAAAAATTAAAAGAGCTTAAGTTAGGAAAATGCTCCACAAAATTTGCTAAAAAAGATACTGGATTACAAATGGACCCACCTTGCACAGCAGTGTGAATCTTTGTTTGTCCTCAGGCGGACTTCCTCTTGATCCAGGGTATTCCCAGTCCAAGTCCATACCATCAAACCCATAAGTCCTCAGGAATATGATGGAAGACTGAATGAACTTCTGACGGTTTGCTGCATTGGACACCATGATGGAGAACCTAAGATGAATTTTAAAATGCATTTCAGTTGACCATTGTCACAGTGTCTGGTTGTGTTTTCACTGGGTGTCCACTAGAGGTCCCTTCCTTCCTGTATCCATTTACTCTAGAACCACATTTCCCATAATCCTTGTTTGTTCCCATCACTTGTGATTCCACCCAGCTGTTCCCATTTATGTTGTTAGTGTCTGTGCATAAATACCCTGTCTGTGTTAGTTCATGTCACTCGTCAACGCCAAGGTCTGTTTCAAGTCTGTTTCTCGTTTGTTCTTGCTTGTTTTGTTTATTTGTTATTCGGACGGATTAAAATGGTTTTCGACACTGGCACGGATGAGTATGATTCTGACTATTTGGATTACGACTCTTGCATGGATGACGATGATTTGGATTGCCCTGACTATCATGTTGCTGCTTTTGGATCCACCCAATTCTCCGCTAGCGATCGTGACAGAATGACTCCGTCCTCAAATGGGTCCAGCAGCATGAACATTTTGCAGGCGTTTGCTTTTGTTGCTCGGCAAAGGGAGGAGGCCATGACGCTCAGATTTCCTAAAGACTTTTCGTTCGACGACAGAGAGTCCTTTAGAGGAGAGCGTCTGGCCAGATTTTCGGGGACCCGTGGAGCTCGCAGAGGAGGAAGTACTAGAGGGGAGTCCCGGACTCAGTCTCTACTTCGGTCTTCCTTCGACCATGATCCGGTGACGCGCAGCCCAGAACACCCTTCGCCGCAGGTCCTGTCCCGTCCTGAACCAGCACCTCGCCAGAAGGGACGACGGAGGAGAAGAAAGACCTCCTCCGTGACTTTCCCGGTGGTCCCTAGTCCGGTGATCCCAGTCCCGGTGATCCCAGTTCCGGTGGTCCCTGTTCCGGTGGTCCCGAGTAAGGTGGTCCCGAAACAGAGGAGGAGAAGGAGACCTGCGTCTGCCCAGTCAGAGATTGTCCACGTCACGTCTGCCCAGTCAGAGACTGTTCACGTCCCTTCTGCCCAGTCAAGGACTATTCACGTTCCGTCTGCCCAGTCAGAGACTGTTCACGTTCCGTCTGCCCAGTCAGAGACTGTTCCAGGGCCGGAGCCAGTGTCTGTTCCAGGGCCGGAGCCAGTGTCTGTTCCAGGGCCGGAGCCAGTGTCTGTTCCAGAGCCGGAGCCAGTGTCTGCTGTTCCAGAGCCGGAAGCAGAGCCAAGGCCTGTTCCAGAGCCGGAGGCAGAGCCAGTGCATGTTCCAGAGCTGGAGCCAATGTCCGTTCCAGAGCCAGTGCCTGTTCCAGAGCCAGTGTTTGTTTCTGTGTTTGTGTCTGTTCTTGTGACTGTTACAGTTCTTGTGGCTGTTCCTGAGCCTGAGCCGGTGTCTGTTCCTGAGCCTGAGCCGGTGTCTGTTCCTGAGCCTGAGCCGGTGTCTGTTCCTGAGCCTGAGCCGGTGTCTGTTCCTGAGCCTGAGCCGGTGTCTGTTCCTGAGCCTGAGCCGGTGTCTGTTCCTGAGCCTGAGCCGGTGTCTGTTCCTGAGCCGGTGTCTTTTCCTGTGCCTGAGCCTATGTCTGTGCCTGAGCTGGTGTCTGTTCCTGTGCCTGAGCCGGTGTCTGTGCCTGTTCCTGAGCCAGGGTCTGTACCTGTTCCACCGCCCTGGCCGCCCGAGGGGTCTTCACCGCCCTGGCCGCCCGAGGGGTCTTCACCGCCCTGGCCGCCCGAGGGGTCTTCACCGCCCTGGCCGCCCGAGGGGTCTTCACCGCCCTGGCCGCCCGAGGGGTCTTCACCGCCCTGGCCGCCCGAGGGGTCTTTACCGCCCTGGCCGCCCGAGGGGTCTTCACCGCCCTGGCCGCCCGATGGGTCGTCTGCTTCGCCCTGGCCGCCCGATGGACTTCCTCAGGAGTCTGTACGAACCCTGCTTCCTGCTCCGCCCTGGCCACCTGACGGGTCGTCACCGCCCGATGAACTACCTGTCCCGCCCAGGTCGCCTGAAGGGTCGTCTCCGCCCAGGCCGCCCGATGAACTGCCATCCCCTGGTTCCATTCCCTCCCATGGTCCTGGCCCTCCGTCCTTCCCCCTGATTCCCCACAGCTCCACCTCCCTCATGGACTTGTTTTTTCGAGTGTTGTTTTCTGTCGTGGAGCGTCTGGTAGCCGCTCCGTAGAGGGGGGGTTATGTCACAGTGTCTGGTTGTGTTTTCACTGGGTGTCCACTAGAGGTCCCTTCCTTCCTGGATCCATTTACTCTAGAACCACATTTCCCATAATCCTTGTTTGTTCCCATCACTTGTGATTCCACCCAGCTGTTCCCATTTATGTTGTTAGTGTCTGTGCATAAATACCCTGTCTGTGTTAGTTCATGTCACGGAGTCATTGTATTGTATGTCACTCGTCAACGCCAAGGTCTGTTTCAAGTCTGTTTCTCGTTTGTTCTTGCTTGTTTTGTTTATTTGTTATTCGGACGGATTAAAATGGTTTTCGACACTGGCACGGATGAGTATGATTCTGACTATTTGGATTACGACTCTTGCATGGATGACGATGATTTGGATTGCCCTGACTATCATGTTGCTGCTTTTGGATCCACCCAATTCTCCGCTAGCGATCGTGACAGAATGACTCCGTCCTCAAATGGGTCCAGCAGCATGAACATTTTGCAGGCGTTTGCTTTTGTGGCTCGGCAAAGGGAGGAGGCCATGACGCTCAGATTTCCTAAAGACTTTTCGTTCGACGACAGAGAGTCCTTTAGAGGAGAGCGTCTGGCCAGATTTTCGGGGACCCGTGGAGCTCGCAGAGGAGGAAGTACTAGAGGGGAGTCCCGGACTCAGTCTCTACTTCGGTCTTCCTTCGACCATGATCCGGTGACGCGCAGCCCAGAACACCCTTCGCCGCAGGTCCTGTCCCGTCCTGAACCAGCACCTCGCCAGAAGGGACGACGGAGGAGAAGAAAGACCTCCTCCGTGACTGTCCCGGTGGTCCCTAGTCCGGTGATCCCAGTCCCGGTTATCCCAGTTCCGGTGGTCCCTGTTCCGGTGGTCCCGAGTAAGGTGGTCCCGAAACAGAGGAGGAGAAGGAGACCTGCGTCTGCCCAGTCAGAGATTGTCCACGTCACGTCTGCCCAGTCAGAGACTGTTCACGTCCCGTCTGCCCAGTCAAGGACTATTCACGTTCCGTCTGCCCAGTCAGAGACTGTTCACGTTCCGTCTGCCCAGTCAGAGACTGTTCCAGGGCCGGAGCCAGTGTCTGTTCCAGGGCCGGAGCCAGTGTCTGTTCCAGGGCCGGAGCCAGTGTCTGTTCCAGAGCCGGAGCCAGTGTCTGCTGTTCCAGAGCCGGAAGCAGAGCCAAGGCCTGTTCCAGAGCCGGAGGCAGAGCCAGTGCATGTTCCAGAGCTGGAGCCAATGTCCGTTCCAGAGCCAGTGCCTGTTCCAGAGCCAGTGTTTGTTTCTGTGTTTGTGTCTGTTCTTGTGACTGTTACAGTTCTTGTGGCTGTTCCTGAGCCGGTGTCTGTTCCTGAGCCTGAGCCGGTGTCTGTTCCTGAGCCTGAGCCGGTGTCTGTTCCTGAGCCTGAGCCGGTGTCTGTTCCTGAGCCTGAGCCGGTGTCTGTTCCTGAGCCTGAGCCGGTGTCTGTTCCTGAGCCGGTGTCTTTTCCTGTGCCTGAGCCTATGTCTGTGCCTGAGCTGGTGTCTGTTCCTGTGCCTGAGCCGGTGTCTGTGCCTGTTCCTGAGCCAGGGTCTGTACCTGTTCCACCGCCCTGGCCGCCCGAGGGGTCTTCACCGCCCTGGCCGCCCGAGGGGTCTTCACCGCCCTGGCCGCCCGAGGGGTCTTCACCGCCCTGGCCGCCCGAGGGGTCTTCACCGCCCTGGCCGCCCGAGGGGTCTTCACCGCCCTGGCCGCCCGAGGGGTCTTCACCGCCCTGGCCGCCCGAGGGGTCTTCACCGCCCTGGCCGCCCGAGGGGTCTTTACCGCCCTGGCCGCCCGAGGGGTCTTCACCGCCCTGGCCGCCCGATGGGTCGTCTGCTTCGCCCTGGCCGCCCGATGGACTTCCTCAGGAGTCTGTACGAACCCTGCTTCCTGCTCCGCCCTGGCCACCTGAAGGGTCGTCACCGCCCGATGAACTACCTGTCCCGCCCAGGTCGCCTGAAGGGTCGTCTCCGCCCAGGCCGCCCGATGAACTGCCATCCCCTGGTTCCATTCCCTCCCATGGTCCTGGCCCTCCGTCCTTCCCCCTGATTCCCCACAGCTCCACCTCCCTCATGGACTTGTTTTTTCGAGTGTTGTTTTCTGTCGTGGAGCGTCTGGTAGCCGCTCCGTAGAGGGGGGGTTATGTCACAGTGTCTGGTTGTGTTTTCACTGGGTGTCCACTAGAGGTCCCTTCCTTCCTGGATCCATTTACTCTAGAACCACATTTCCCATAATCCTTGTTTGTTCCCATCACTTGTGATTCCACCCAGCTGTTCCCATTTATGTTGTTAGTGTCTGTGCATAAATACCCTGTCTGTGTTAGTTCATGTCACGGAGTCATTGTATTGTATGTCACTCGTCAACGCCAAGGTCTGTTTCAAGTCTGTTTCTCGTTTGTTCTTGCTTGTTTTGTTTATTTGTTATTCGGACGGATTAAAATGGTTTTCGACACTGGCACGGATGAGTATGATTCTGACTATTTGGATTACGACTCTTGCATGGATGACGATGATTTGGATTGCCCTGACTATCATGTTGCTGCTTTTGGATCCACCCAATTCTCCGCTAGCGATCGTGACAACCATTTAACAGCTGCTCAAATGTGATAATGACATGACAAAAAAAAAAAGACCAAAACAAAACAGAATACTTACTGTGATGAACCAAAGTTCCATCCACCAACAGCCAAGAGAGTCTTAAGAGTAGGATTTCTGTGAGGATAATGGATATTATACTTTAGGATTCCAATATATAAATTTGCAGTGTTAATATCTTACTTTTTTGGTATTTGTTTTGTAAAATATCTCACTGAAAAAAACAAATTTCGGCATCTGAAAAGTGTTAAAAGTGATATTTCAACTAATACATACCTGTTCTTGAGTTCATTGAAGGCTTTGTAGAGAGTCTCATCGTTCCACTCATATGTGATAAGCTCGTTGGCCTGGTTGATCATTGCAAAAGCATAGAAAAGGTGTGTACAAAGGAAAGGGTCGACATTTGCAGGTGTATACTTTCCAATTCCAGGTCTGTACTGGGACCAGTTGGTGAAGTAGCATCCCATTTCCATGGAGAAGGCTGGTTATGGATACACAAAGAAGCTCTTAGACAAGACATTTACACACTCAAATGCATTTGTGATATAACCTCTCTTCTCAACATTGCAATGTAAATATAGATATTTCATTAAAAAGAAGAGATAAATATGATAATGTGATCTAATAAACACTCAATGACTCACCAACATGGCAGAGCACCAAGCCCAAACCTAGAATATGCAATAATATCAGGTAAATGACAAATATAAAATAATTAATTGTACTTTAAATTCTACTTCGCAGTGTATGTATATAATTTCTTACCTGCTATAAGTGTAAGCTTCCCCATTGTATTGCCAATTTTCTATAAGAAACAAAGATCAGTTTCATTAATTACAATAAACTAATAGCAAAAATAAACCTGAAGTTGAATTCTCAATATAGAAATTCTCTGATGGTTACATACCTGGGGTACCTCAAGAAAATGGAAATTGTGAGGACGGGCATCAAAACCCTAAGGTTTTTATAGGAGTTGGGTGTTGTCATCCTAATATGGGATGCTTTATTAGGATGGTGTAAGATATGGTATCTCCTGTAAACTATGGACTTAAATGAGAATAACACGTGGAAACAAAAAAAAAACCTTTGTCCTATTTAGCACAATTTGTGTGAAGCTTCATAGATAAGATGAACAATTAGAACTGCTATGGTAAAATGTGCATGAATGCTAATATATCTGCTATTTTAATATGGATTTAGCCATTTGATTTTAACACATTTTAATCTAGTAGACTGTTCAGGTGAAGCCAGATTTGTAGAAATTATAGTATCGTGTATTTGATCAAATAAAGAGCAGCTCATGCCATTGACTGACATATATAAGAATACTGTCTATAATATTGTGCCAAGATCATAAATATTCATGTTTATTCATAACCATGGGCTCTTCTATAGTCATGATGCAACATGTGTATCAGAGGAAATGACAGTGATGTCAGTCTGGTAATGGCATTGAATACCTGACAATGGGCAATAAATAACCTAAATAATTAAATAAATACTCTGAAGAACAGGAAAAATATGCTGAGTGAAAAATAAACAAACTTATGTATCGGGTTGGAAGTGTAAAGGTGTTCCTAAACTTATTTTCTAATTTCTAAAATAGTAATGTTTAACCAAACCAAATGACAAAAAAATGCTACTTCAGCTGTGATATAATCTAAATATCTGGCCTCTAAATGGAAGGTGTCCATGTTGTGTATCAAACTCTAAATATCTGGCCTCTAAATGGAAGGTGTCCATGTTGTGTATCAAACTTTTTTGGGGTCAAAATTGTGTGCAGAGGTCTTTACAAAGATGTTTTGATCGGTTAATTCAGGTGTCTAACTGAAGTGTTGATGAGACCTTTATGATTTAAAATATTGCATGGTAATAAATGAATGACTCATATGCTCTTGAATGACTCATGGTCGTCTATCTTCTAAACTTAAACATAACTTTATCAAAATACACTTTGATGAATGATTGAATGAGGCATTTTTATAGCGCTTTCATATAGCCCATACTGTACACCCAAAGCGCTTTACAACTATGATTATTGATATTCCAAATAATGATTTACAGTATATTTGAGAGCTGTTGGGGTGGATTTCACGGTAAATTGCATTGACATTCGCCCGTCATGTTCATACACAGAGAAAAAGTAGCTGTGGATAGCATGAAGCTGAAAGTTTGTTGTCACAATGAGAAAAATTGACCATGGATCATTCAAAACAAAAACAAAAAAATCCGCTGGTTTTAAAAACAAACATACACAACTGTTTGCTATTTTCAATGGTTACTATTTAGTTTTTTTTTAGTGTGTTTTTTTTATTCATTTTATTAAAACCAGTTAGGATCAGTTCCCTTTTTCGAGGGAACTCGAACTGCGTCGATACGACACTTTGGGGAACGCCCTTAGTGTAACGCATCTGAAGTAACTAATCCAATCCTGATTGGTGCTGCGTCATGACGTAACATGTGACGGCACACACGGAAGCTACAAAGGGATGCCGGCACACAACAGAGTTAGCTTTTTGCTCTTCAGCAAGCGCTCTGTGTCAAACTGTCTGTCCTATTTGGTGTTGTTTGTCCCTTAAGAACTTCAAATAAAGGTCTGCATTGCAATATAGAATCTAGTGGCTCGGATCTCGCGTTTGCAGAGGCAGCGCGTAGATTCCGGGTCTACTCTGCAATAAAGATTCTGTGTGGGTGCGAGGCATGCACAGTCAGCTCAGGGCTGTGTTGTGTGTTCATTGAGAAATATCTCGGGTATTTCAGTCTCGCGCCTGTTGACTTTCTTCTCGAGAGATGAAAGCCAAATATACTGTGAACAACTCGAATCTCGCGTTTGCAGAGGCAGCGTGTAGATTACGGGCCTGCAATAAAAGGACATACGCGATCTGTGAAATAATACTGTTTGGGTGCGAGGCATTCATAGTCAGCTCCTGAGGGTGCTGGTAGTGTTCATTGAGAAATATGAGACCGTGAGAGATATCAGACCGTGTTTCACTTATCCCGTGTTTATGGCCGTGTCAATTAAAATGATGAGCAGCCAACGCACGCTGCTCTGTCTGCCCCACAGGCTTGCGGCCAGGCAGTGTTCCGTCCGCACATCGAAAATCGTTTTAGATTTTTTTCCTGCCGGTCTAGCAGGGCTGTCCCCCCCGTGAAGGGACGAGCTAGAATCGCTCCTCAGAATGGAGCCCTCAGGAAATCAATGTTTGTGTCCAGCGTCAAGTGCGCTTCGGGACACATCGATTTTCAGCGAATGCACGCTGCAGTGTCCGCCCCAAGGGCTTGCGGCCAGGCAGTGTTCGCGTCCGCTCATAGGAAACTGTTTTCGATTATTCCCTGCCGGTCCTCCGCTTCAGGGTGTCGAGAACGAAACCGAAAGAGCCTCCCCTCTGGGGAGCCCTCAGGAAATCGATGTCTGTATCCTGCCGTCAAGTGCGCTTTGGGACACATCGGTTTCCATCGAACGCACGCTGCTCTGTCTGCCCTACAGGCTTGCGGCCAGGCAGCGCTCGCATCCGCACATCGAGAATTGTTTCGACCAAACCCTGCCGGAGAGCCGCTTCAGGGGATCGAGAACGAATCTCGAAAAATACCCGAAATCAGTCTCGAGAAGCTGGTTCCCTTAGTAGAATAATTCAAAGCATGGCAAGACCTGCCAAATATTTCTGCTTGGGTCCTGCGCACAATAGAGAAGGGTTACAGGCTGCAGTTCAATTCCGCCCACTGAAATTCAGCGGGGTGGTGTGGACTGCAGTCGACCCAGTGCAGGGTTGGGTATTAGAACAGGAAGTAAACTCCCTGCTGGTAAAGGAGGCCATAGAGCGTGTTCCTCCGCTACTTCATAGTTCTCAAGAAGGATGGGGGGTTGCGCCAATTTTAGATCTAAGGCACTTTAATCGGTGTCTGAGGAGATTCAGGTTCAAGATGCTCACTATTATTCCCATCATCGTGAGTCAGATCAAATCTGAGGATTGGTTTGTCACGAATCACGATAGATCTAAGGGACTTATACTTCCACATATCCATCCTTCCATCTCACAGGAAGTTCCTGAGGTTCGCTTTCAGGGGCGAAGCATTCCAATATTGGGTTCTTCCGTTCGGCCTAGGTCTCTCCCCTCGCACGTTCACCAATTGCATGGATGCAGCTCTAGCTCAGCTGAGGCTTTAGGGTATAAGGATGCTAAATTATATCGACGACTGGCTTATTATGGCCCATTCAAAAGAGCTGGCAGTTCGGCATCGAGATATCGTCCTTGCCCACATCCAGAGCCTGGGGTTGAGACTCAACACGAAAAAAAGCGTGTTGGCACCAGCCCAGAGAACCACGTTCCTGGGAGTGGTGTGGGACTTGGTCACGATGCAGCCACAATTGTCTCCTGCACGGATCGAGTCCATCCTGGCCACGATGACCAGGATAAAGCTAGGCCAAGCCATCACTGTAAAACATTTTCAGAGAGTGTTAGGGCTCTCTGAAATGGGACCTGGCAGTGGTTCTCGAAGGGCTGGTCGAGGCCCCCTTCGAACCTCTGGAGTCGGCTGAGGCCAAGTAGAGCCCGACCGATGTGGATTTTTGGGGGGCGATGCCGATACTGATATTAGGGAGTAAAAAAGCCCCATATCGATATATATCGGCCGATATTATTTATATGTATATTATAATACAGTAGCAATATTATTTATGTGTATATTATAGTACAGTACCAGTCAAAAGTTTGGACACACTTTCCCATTCTTGTGTACAAACTTTTGACTGGTACTGTATATAGAATACACAGTATACATAAACAGAATATATATATAAACACATGTTTTGCAATGATCACTCAAATGTGGTGATCAAACACTTGTGTGACAAAGATATGTAATGGAGGCAGGGTGAATGATAGAATGAGAATGATACATTTAAGCTGTAACCAAAATAGTTTGCATTGCATTTTCTATTCTATATTAAATTCTAAATACTGTTGCATAATCTTCACTAATGACTTTGTCTTTAAATTTAGTCACGTTATATAAAAAATAACTTGTATCAATATATATCAAAAGTGTCACTGGCAAAACCTTATTATCTTCTATTATTAGTCTTAATTCCTCTAGTCTAGCAGTGGAGGAAGAACTCAGATCTTTTTACTAAAGTAAAAGTAATAATATCATAATGAAAATGTGTTTAATTACATATGTACAGTACTTTTATACTATTTTAAATAAGTAAAAGCAAAATGTAAACGTGAAACTGGGCTATTATGCAAAAATGGCCCTATATAAAGTGTTATGATTATATAAATACATCAATATTCAAATACATCAATATATTATATATATACATCAATGTTGCTTGATGTTGTAACGTAGCGTTATAGACAGAATGAGTTTTAACACTGTGTCTTCACCGGACGCAGCCGTTGTTGCTCGCGTCGCAACAGCTAACCCTAGATGCCAAAAAGCGCCCGTTACACAGCAGAACGAGGCATCAGTTTACTGTCGGAGATTTGTCGCTCGCGCCCATAGACTGTAAAAAAAGATGGACGACGCCCCTTCGCTCTCTTCCATTGGTGAGAAGTGAAGCCGCCAGTGTCCCGATCCATTGGTGAGAAGTGAAGCCACCAGTGTCCCGATCAAGGGTGTAATCCACCAGCCGGAAACTGAAGTCTCCCTGGGGGCCGCCATTGGCTAGCAAGCCTGCAGCTGCTGTTAGCATTCCATTGACTCCCATTCATTTTGGCGTCACTTTGACAGCGAATAACTTCTGAGGCATTTAAAGACTCCATTTGTCCATTGTTTATTTCTAAAGAAACACGACAATGTATAAAAGGCTCCATTACCTTGTATGTTACGTTATGGCCCCGTAGAAGCAGTTTTTGTAAAAATAGACTAACGATTGCAGAAGGGAATGATTCAGATTTCTCTTGGCACAGCTACTAGAAGACGT